TTTATACTGGACACTAGCGCAGTAATTGAACGGTATTCAACAAGTATTTCGGCAAGAAATTATTTTTCTACATTTTTGATAAACGATTTGTCATATAGGATTTTGAAGTATTTTTCACGTCCTATCTACTGATATATAATTCATTTGGTTTGAATTAAGTAACAAGTACATATATGTAAAACTTGACAACCAAAAGATGCCCCAATGTTTACACAGAAAATTGAAGAAGTAATCGGATCCTGAACTTGTAAATACCTAGCAAAATCATTTGAAAACCATAAAGTATACTTTCTACCATCATTTTCTTTGTTTCTACCCGGGCAGATCATTAAAATTCAATTGGGCCGATTTCTGTAGAAATCGCCCCCCGTCCTTTTTTCATATATCAGAAAAAAAGTGCATCATTAACAAATTTTTGTTCGTTAACATCGAGTTACATAGAATCTTTTTTTGTGTACTCAAAAAGTTCATACACTCTAGAATCGGTCAGTGTGTCCGGCCGGCCGTTTACACGATAACTTTCGAAAGGAGAGTCCGATCGCGATGAAATTTTCTACACAGTTCAGTGTTAACAATATCTCGGTTGAGTTCGAAGATGAGCAGGATGGACTGAGACGTTCCTGAGTTATTGCAAAAATACTCATTTTTTCCTATGCCTTCCTATAGGAAAATCGACCTATCCTCACTTTCGTCAAACATTTTCCGTATCAAAGTCAACTTAATCCCCAACTATAATATACCATTCGATAGAGAATTTCAAGAGCTACAAAATGGTATATAAAACGTATGGAAACAAGAAGGCTAACTCATCTGTTTCAAAGAGAAAAAAAAGTTTTCCCTTTTTGTAGTACACATAACATTCGGATAGAAATCCGAAGTTTTTTCATTTTTTTCTTTTTAATTTTATTTTTTCGTTCATTTTAAAGGTAAAAGAAAGAGTATTTTTTGTGACGAATAATTCAATTAAAAAGTCAAAGAAAATTTTCTCAATGGCTGAATAAAATCGAATATCAAGCTAAATCTGTATATTATTTGTGTTTTCAAATAAGAATAGAAATAAATCTATGTTTATATTTATTTTGTAGGAATAAATCATTTGTACAGCACGGATTATTGCTCAATATCTTAAGTAAATTAACTTTAAAGGTCATTGTTATTGCATTGTAATGCAATCAATGGTAGAAGAATTCGAACAAGAAGATTTTCATATATCAGATTGTATTGGAGTATGTATTAGACAATTTAATTTTTAATATTTATTCAATTATTTTATAATCTAAATCTATTTTACTCGAAGCAGATTGGATCGAAACAAATACGATCAAATTTGATGATAATGTACGTAAGATATTTAATTTAGATAATTGTTAAATTATATTATTTTCTTTATTTATAGATAAATTGCGTCATATCTGCATTTGATATTCATTTCAATTACCTGAAAATAATCAAAGCAGCTACTTATCTTAGTCGATCTTATGTGTTATTCTTAGCTACTAATGATGATGTCACAACTCCAAAAACTGATGTAGCCATCTTACCTGATATAACAGAAATTTTTTTTATAAAGACATTAAAAAATAAAGTTATGTTTTGATTGTTGACTATATGAGAAAGTACTATTTTGGCTTCAATTGTGGCAGCATCAAGTCGTTATTCAACGATACTGGGCAAACATTGAGCTTTAATGTTTGATTAAATTCGTTTAACTTTTTCTGATGTTAAATCTAATCGAACTATTATGATTGATGACAGGTAAAATATTACAGTTCTTCAAAGTACATTTTTCTAGATCACTTTCTGTTTTACTAAAATATAGATTGAAAACGGACATTTTATTTGTTAACCGTCAAGGTTTGGTAACACTAATTATATTCAATGGAAAAACAAGTGAGAAAAAGGTAGATATTATCAAACAAACAGTTGAAAAAACTATTGCAGACAAAGATCTTTTACAAAAATATTTTATCAAAGATGTCAATCATTCATTACAATTAATTTAATATCATGAAAAAAACTTATTCCTAATTAAATTAAATTTAATTACTAGATTCTTTTCATAAAGTTGTAATCTTCTCATTAATCTAATATTACTAATCAAATATTTTATTATAAAGAGAAAAATTAAATTTAAACTATTTTATGATAATTATCAGCTAACGACATTGGTTTCATTGAAACTATTAACTAAAAGTGTGTTTTCAAATTAGTTAAATTAACTTTTCTTACTATGAACTTTTTCGTAAAATATCAGTCGATGAAACAAGAAATTGGTGGGACCAAAATGCTCTCAATAACTTTAAATCACCTTGTTTCCTTTTTCTTTCTATCTCATTACTATTCTTATATGTTTCTCCGATCAGAACGAAGAAGAAGTTATAGATTTTTTTTCTCGATCCTCTTCTTTACATTACACAAATAAAAAAAAAGACATAGAGTATAGAGCGTCATTTTACTAAACGACTTATTTTCTTGAATCAAACAAACAAAATTGTAATACCGCAAAATGTGATACCACCGACCTTAGAAGAACTGGATCATCAACATGAGTTTTAACAAGTTCTACAATTATGTTTATTTGTAAACAAGCTCTTATTTTTGTTGAATAAATTGTTAAAAAAAAAAAAAACTAATTGAAAAATCTAAATTTAAACGTTTACTAAATTTCAGTAGATATTTATCTTTGAACAGAGATTAAAATAAATTATTTTTTAAAATAAACTTCATTTAATATTTTAAGAACGATTACATTTGACATAGTAAACAGTCAAATTTCATTGAAAGACTTTGATTTTCTTTTAAAAAAAGGTTTCTTTAATATTTATTATTTTGATTGTCAGAGTTTATCAAATATCTTAATCATTGACAATTCCATGAGAATATGATTGTTAACATTTATTATTTGGTATCCATTTAAAATTTATTGATATGTCTTTTGAAAAGGTTAACTTAGATCGATTAATGAAATTTTTAATTATTAGACTTTTTCGTTTATTACTCAATCAAATGTCTGAACTACTCGCAGCACCAATAAATCTAAAAGAAAATATGGAAATTAAAAGTAACATCATTAAAAAAAAGAGAAAAAAAAAAAGAAAAAAAAAGCGGACACACGATCAAATGCATGATCAATTTGATCAAAACAATCTCAATGACATAAACGAAATAATTCTATACAAATGGAAAGAAAATAATGTTTATGCAAACCACATTGTATTCTCAATTGATGAATTAAAGTCAATTTTTATTGTTTGAACATCATCTAATGTTACAACAACATTTTCATCTAAAATTCCTTCTTCAATATCAGAACTAAAATTAAATTAAATTATTTTTATTTTTTATTTTTAATTTAAATAAATATTCAAAAACTTACGCAGCAATACTTCGTTGTTCATTAGACATTTGTCCTTCATAATCAAGATTGAGACCACGAGCTACACAAAGTGTTGCATAATGAACAGGTGATGGAACAGAAACAGATTTCGTACATCGAACATCCGTATGACATAAATAAAATCTAATAGTTTTGGTTTTTAAAACAATATTTTTTTTGTTTTTTCAAATATTTAAAAAAAAAATTCTCACGTTAATTGTTGAATTTCGTCTGGTGTAAAACCAATATCATCATATAAAACGTGATAAAGCATTGGTCTTGATGTACCTTGAATAGCTGCATGAGAATTAAGATAAAAATCAAATCCATTAGGTGAAACAATATCTGTATCAATAACTGTGCCTAAATTAAAAAACAAACTAATCAACAACAAAAAACAAATAAAACAAGAAAATAATAATTTTTACCTGGTTGAATATTATTTGTTTGATTTGATTGTTTATCCCAAGTAAAAAATCGTGTATTATGACGTTTTTTAACAATAACAAAACAAATTTTTGGTAATTCATTATGACCATAAAGTTCTTTTTCAATAGAAATAATAATTATTATTGTTTTTTTTTTTTTATTGAATTATTTAATATAATCAATAATATTACCTTTAGATGCTTTTTGAATAGCTCGTACTTCATTATCAAGTACTTTTTGAAATGATCCATCATCAACACCGGCACGATAAAAAACAAGTTTATTTGGTAAACGAGTATTATGATTAGAAAATTCACGTAATAATTCTCCAACATAAATATGAAGATCTTTTATTATTTCAACTGCTATTTTTCCTTTAGGAGAATATTGTTGAATAACACGACCAACATATTGTGTACCTTTAAATTAAAATAATATTTAATTTATTTAAATAAATAATTTTAAAAAAATAAACAAACAAACAAACTTGTTGAATCTTTTGATCCAATAATAGCAGCAATTGATGGTCGTTCACGTGAACATGTTACATGAGTACAATCAATACCAAAAAACATAAAAATATCTGTACGAGATGATGGAGAAGTTAATGCTCGCATTAACGAAACTAATTGATTAATACCACCTAATTTTGCATTAAATTTTTGTACTAAATTCTATTTTTTAGATTTATTTTTTTATTTTTAAATAAAAAATTAATATAAATATAAATAATTTACTTGAATATACATATCCATTTTACGTGGTTCACTATTTGCCATAAGTTTATCAAAACGTGTACATTGGGTTACCATACCTTTACAAATTTATTTTATAGATAATATTAATCATTATTAGATTATTTCACAAAATAAAAACAGAAATTATTACTGAATATTGAATATTGAAAAAGTCAATTGGTTTTTTTTTTTTTTTTTTTTTTTTTTGCATTATTCTATTTTTTCGAAACAACTAAATTCTTCTATATGAGCTTTTATAGTTTATTTTGTTAACTGCAGTTTTTTTTTCTGTTCCTTAATAAATTATTAGGTAAACAAGAGTTTTATCCATAGTTGAATTTATCTATCTGTGAATAGTGATTTTAGGCACGGATAACCTCAATTTCTATTGAATATAGATTATTCTCAATAATATTAATGTAAAACTACAATATGTTTGTGTATTTTTAACATAATTCAAATAGATATATTTACAATAGAGACAAGAGTATTATTCATGTTTCAATTATCCGATAGGTCTTTTATATGTTTAATGTATTAGAATATTTTTCTTCATTATAGATATGTGGTGAGAAAATACTTAACAAAAAAATATTTTTAATATTATTTCTATAATGTTTCGTATCTTGCTTAAATTGAGATAGGAATTTTAATAGACAATGAAGTTTTTCATCTAATAGATCTTATATAAATATTTCATTGATGAACTATGATGACAAATTTTCGAAAAAACTGATCATGATAGTCTTCAAATTCCAGAAGACTTTGTTCAAGTTTTATTTTATCAATGCCATTTAAAAATACAAAAAATTTCTAACCGAAATCATGAGTCACCGAATTTCCTACAACCTTCTCTTAAAACTGAAAATTATCATAAAAATTGTAAAAAAATGAAATCTATAAAAAAATTGACTTTTATTATGCTTCTCAATTTAAAGGTAAGATTGTAAAAAATACGATGATTGATGATTTATTTTCTAATTTAGTAATCTTTAAAATGATATTGTTAAAAAAAAGTATATTCTAAAATATAAAAAACTCTTATGTCAAATATGTTAGTAATGTTAATATTATAGTTCATCTATGAAATCTTTCTATAGTATTGTATATTATAATGATTATATAATTAATGAAAAAGAATTGAAGAAATTTTAATATTGAAATGAAGAATAATTTTTGTATTTAATAAACTATTATTGAAAATTAATAATAAATATTTTTTTTAAAAATAAAAATATGAAAGAATTTCTTTAAGTTAAGTTAAATAATATATATATTCTTACCAAGTTTAACATTTCCAAAAAATTTAATAACATGATAAATATCATCACCAACTTGATTAAGAATATAAATAATAACTTCACATCCTAACATTTTAAGTTCATTCATTCGAGCTAAAATAATATCAGGTACAGCAGCATCTGATTTTTCAATAGCTGCTGAATTAAATCTAATACCATATTTTGACATTGCCTTTAGAAGAAAAAAATAAATTTTATTGTTTTTTAAATAATATTTTTTAATGAAAAACAAAATATTCTAACCTGTGGAATTTTACTTGCAAAATCTCTAGCTAAACCAACTTGTCTAGCATCAGGTTCTTTTTGGCTAACAAGAACAAGAGCCCATGCACGTATTTCACGTGCTTTATTAAAATGATTATTTAAATACCATTTACCAATTTGTACTCTTTCAATAACATCACGTTGATCATCTTGTGATGATTTATATTTTATTTCAGGTGGTGTTAAAATTCTAGCAGGTATAATTAACATATCATTAGAATGAACTTTAATACCAAATTTTTCTAAATAAAGATCTTGATCAAAACGACATTCATCAGCAACACGTCGAATCATTCCAAAACGTTCACCTGGTTTAACAACAGTTTTTTTTGTTACTTTAGCTCGTTGTTCAGTTGTTAATGGTTTTAAACTTCGTTGCCATTCATCAACAGTAACTAATTCCATTGGTAAAAAATGTGATTTATTTTTATCAGCTGGATTATATAATTCCACAAGAGGTAAATGTGGATGACGTAAACGAATTTTCCATTTTTCTTCAAAATAATCAGTAACACTAATTTGTTCACCTTGATGTTCACCATGATCTTTAGAAAATGTATGTTCATTTGATGAACGACCAAACGATTTTAAACGATATTTTCGAATTTGATTTGTATGTGATGTTGCAAACCAAATAGATTTTAAGATTTTACGAACTAATAATGGTTGATCTTTTGATGAAATACCTTAATATATATTTAAGTTATCTTTTTTTATTTTTTATTTTATCAATTGAGATTTTGACTTATTTAACGAAAAACATTCAGATTAAAGACAATACTAATCATAGACATATTAGAATTCTATTTCAAATAACCAATTCATAAAATTATTGAAAATATATCTCAATTCAACGAAATATTCTCTAGAAAAATTCATTTTTGTAAATATTCCTTTTGATATTATTATCAATTTATTGAGATTTTAGATTATAGTAGAAAAATAAATATTTTTCATTGTCTTTAGAATAAATAAAAGAAAATTAAACTAAAGTAAATATATTATTGTTAAAATGTCGAATATTTAAGTTGATCAATCATTTTTTCTTTTGTTTCAATTATCGAATAGTTGAATTAAAACATATATTCGTAAGTGAAAAAAAACTTCTGAATGATTATTTTAAAAAAATCTACATTGATAATAACAATAAAATATTTATTAATCACTATGATCATACAAATAAAACAAAATATATATATTAAATATATTTTTTATTTTTAACAAACATCTTTAAATCAAATGAAATATTTACAATTCATAATATTACATAATTATTATTCAAAAAAACATAATGTTTTTATTAGACTTATATTCTATACAATTAAAATATTGTGACAATATTTCGAAAAACATCAATTTTAAAATAATTATTTAATTTTTTACAAAAATTTTCATGATTAGAACTCAACCGAAAATGTTTTCAACTGTTTACTTGCTTTTCGCTTGAGATTATTGTCATTCAATCGGATATGATCATTAGTAAAAACATCATTTTTGTTTTTACTTTTCTTTTCTGATTCTT